TTTGTAACGGTTAATTACTAATTATGCGTTCTTCTTCGAATACGTTCAAACGACCGGTAGCTACCTCTCCCACTCGCTATATATCCTTTGTATCGAATCATCGTCTATTCTGTCTAACCTATTTCTCCGACGCTGTGGCCTGAAATCTGTAAATCTAAATAATTGTACATGAAATTTTGTCCTTAGATGCAGCGAAATATCTAATACTCTCGATTTATACTATTACTAATCTAGTACAATTCTTATTTTTCAAGAAATATAATACCATGTTATTGTAAAAGTACTGCCTCGAGGACAGACTGTATCTTGGCTCCGATTAATAAATGAGTTTGAACCAATGCCAAAGGATTTCTATAATCCTTAGACATGTAATATATCTCTCTTATTTTTCTCTTCCTCTTGAGGAGAAGTTGTATTTTTATCCTCATTGTGAATACTGTGATGAAAATAACACAGGACTGCTTTAAAAGCAATCTTCTATTTCTTCCTATATGAAGAATTAGAGTTAGAGGACCAAAGTATCCTGTTAAAAAATGGAAAAGGACAATAAATAGATAGATCATAGTTCGTTAGAACAGTTCTTATATTTAATTTACTTTTATCTCATTTATCTGGCAAGCATGTTTCATTTGATAATAAGAGAAAATTAGCCTTATAGATAATTAGTCATTTCCAACGTTTTTTCACCAGTTTGTCGCTTTCATTAGATAATGATTCTTTACAAAGTTATTAAATAAATAAGTGAAACAAACTTATTATGGAATAGAATAAACTCATTATTTGATAAATGAGTTATTCATTAATGATAAATAAGTAAAACAAACTTATTATAGAATAGAATAAACTCATTATTTATTTACTAGGTTTTCATTTCTGGAAGGAATTTTCTATATTTTCATAATATACACAAGACTGAGTGCACTTACTATCACAATAGTGTGATTTATTTCAATTATTTAACTATTGAATACAATTATTTAAACAAAACTAATCGAATAAAAAAAATGGAACTGTGCAAAAAGCAAAAAGAGAAATTGAATAAAACTATTTGTCAAATTAATTGTGCATAAATAAATAGTTTACATGATTGAGTAGAAAAAAAGAAACTGAATTGAAACTCAATTATTTAAACAAAACTAATCGAATAAAAAAGTGGAATTGTGTAAAAAAAAAAAGAAATTGTATAAAACTATTTGTCAAATTAATTATACCTAAATAAATAGTTTACATGATTGAGTACAAAAAAAAAGAAACTGAATCGAGTAAAATGATAGTTAAACAAAATAATTGGACGAAATAAAAAAAAATGAATAAAATAATCATAATGATCAGGGGAAAATTAATTTTGCACGTGTGTGAAATTGCACGATAATTTGCGTAATTGGATAAAATAATTGGACAAAATTATTCATATTTAATTAATTATATTATACCTAAAAAAAAAACGTGACGATGAGAAAGACGGCGGTGAATTAGGCCGACGATATTTATCAGATGGTTGAAAACCGGGGGAACGATTACTGTTATTGACACCAGCCAGGTAATTAAATTA